ATAAAACAGCTATCGTGAAGATTGCCTTTTCTCAGTTGTGGCAATTTAGTCCCGCTACTATTGTTATTCTCTCGATATAAATGTAGCTTAGAAAAAAAATTGTTCCCATGATAGTTCTTTTTCTCTTAATCCAAATTATTACTGCATCATATTTAGAAAGAACACTCAACAAACTTTAATGTCATGCGAGGATATGCTTCCCTTGGAGCTTGTCTTAAAAGAGCTTAGAAATAGAATTATGATCATACCTTAATTTTGATTTTTCATGTGAATACATGCAGCAGAAATATAAAATTGCAGACGATGTCTAGATACCTCTCCAGCATTCATGTACCAGTGGAACATTAATTTGTCTTTTACTATCATAATTTTAGACAATGGAAATTGAAAGGTGGCATTTTGCTGGAAATATTATAGCTGTTGAACTACTAAGGGAAGTTCTGTGGAACAGAGATCCTGAGCCAACAATTTAATCTGTGAAATGCTATGTTTCTAGTCCTGTCTTTGAAGTAGTAAGCTCACGATAAACTTGTTCTTTGGGGATGCTTTGTTACCTTCTTCCTGTAAATGACGGATTATTCTAAGGTCACTGAAAACTTAACAAGGTCAAATCACAGATGAAGTAACAAACCAGAACTGAAACTTAACTGCAGTTGAATAACAGAGATGCTGTATTACTTTTAGTACATTACTTTTAGTCTTCTCTTAATTATTAACAAACTCGTAGGGGATCACAATGCACATTTTATTTAAGTGTGCAAATAAGGGTGTGTTGACCTTGTAACATGAAAAGACAGTCGGTTATTTGACAAAAAAAAATGCTGACCTGATGGATAATCAGGTTTTATTTATTTAATCAGGATAATACAGTTTTGGCTTCCTCTAATGAATGTAGTTACATATTACCAGTCAGGTCAATAGTACAGTAATATTATCTTAATTTGAAAATGGAATTTGACAATACAAGGGAAACCAAGTGGAATGTGTAGCAGAGACTGAGAAATTGAATCAGTTTAGGCCAATACAATGTTGTCAGACCTCAGCAGATGTGCAAGATTATTTATTTTGATATTTCTAACAGCCTTTGCTAAGACTGTCATCCCTTATCTGATTATATTTTTCTAATAACAGTGTCTGTTCTACTGTTTTAAAGAACACACTTCTCTTAAGATACTTCTTTCTGTTTCAGAGATGTAGATTTGTAACAGCACTTGCTTATGTTGTTAAATCTACATCTGAAGCATCCAGGATGTAGCCCATTTATGAACACTAAAAGGGCTGTTTCATGCAGGATCAAAGATAAGATACAACTAATATCCTGCATCCAACACTGGCTAATAGTGCCTGCGATAGTAGTGAGAGCAAAGATGAGGGCAAGAAGCTAGTAGTATTTCCCCAGAATGCTTCCCCAGCCTGCAACAATGTGAAACTTCTGAGCCAGATGCTGTATCTTTGTATATTTCTTATGAAAATCTTTCATTTACTTTTTGTAAGTAGGTAAAGTCTTAGTTTAAACAACATCACAGCATAATCACAAGTTGAGTTAAGTGCTTCCTTTTGTTTTAAACTCGCTGCTCACTATTTTCATTCCATGTTCAATCATTCTCCGCCATCTCCAAGCCACTCAAGATATTAAAGACTATGTTTATATACTCGGTCATGTCTTCCAGGCTGAAAAGTTCCGATCTCTTTTGTTGTTTGTGTAACCTATATACTTGATCATCTTTCCCCCCCTTCTCTTTATTGCATTCATGTAAAGTATGAATATAATTTTCTAGGATACAGCAGACCTGTGGCTTGCATTCTGGGTAGTCAATCTGCATTTATTCAGTGGCCACTTGTCTGGGATTTCCAAACATCCCGCATTTGTCTAAAACGGCTCCTCTTTTCTGCCTAGGAATATTTTTAATGGAGCTACTGTCCCACTTGGTTTGCTGTAAGTCTGGAAATTCTGGACAAGTTCAAAATGTTCAGATTCTGTCTGGACATGTTACCGGGAAAATTGGAATAAGATGGCCATGCAGTATTGGTGTGGTCGTTCTGTTAGTATGTATGGCCACTGTCCATGCTGTATCTGTTCTCTTGTGTTATTTGTTTTATTAATTATGCCATCTAAAGCTGCTTCTACTGACCAAAGGTTCTTTACCAACACTCCTGAAAAATTGTTAGTACACTGAAACCAATGCTTTTCATTTCTCAAGATATTCAGCAGACTTCACCAACCAAAAATTGACTTAGACCCTGGCAGCGTTCTGGCATGCTGCTGACGCTTGTGCTGGAGGCTTTTTTCACAGATCTCAGTGAGCCACTTGCCACTCCAGACTGGTGTACTGCCAGCTGGTGAGAATACAGGCAGGACAACCAAGCTCCACACCAGTGGAGCGAGTGCCTGGAAGACGATGTGTTGATGCTGAAGATTGGATATTAACTCCAGACACAGACCTTCAAAAGCTCTGTCCTTCTGAAAACATGGTAACTTCTGCTGGCCATCCAAGCTGCAGTTACTGCATTTTCAGGTAGAGCTTCTGAAGATAGATTCCGTCTGAAGTTAATAACCAATCCTTAGCGTCAACACATAGTCCCACCTGTTGATGCTAATCCCCCCAGCTCAAAACCTCTCCTTCCTGCAGGAAGATCAGTCCCAGCTGCAACTGACGCTGGCCTCCATTCATGCCGCGTGGTTCTGCGCGTATTGGTTCCTCATTGCTACCCTGTAACAATAGTAACACCCGCTCTTGCTGGGCATCTGTGTCCACACGCATGCACTGGTCTCATCTGATGCTTTTCTAAAGAGTAACCACAGCCCCAGCAGGACAGGGCAGAGAAGTTGTAAAGGAGGAAGTACAGGCAGCATGGTCTCAATAGAAAAGTAAGGACTACCAAGGAATGACTTGCAGAGTGTTTCTTTTATGTAATGGATCCTTAAATGGTGACAATATCTGTGTAAGGCAAATGGCTCTTCAGTGTAGTGTGTGTGTGAGGGAGCACCATGCTGTGTGGGGATTGTGTGGTAACCGCTGTTTTCATAGGGGATGGAGATGGTTCCCTCAACACATCCCTCCAGACTCCAGCGACCCTCAATGAAGGCCTGAGCAATTCAGCAGTAACCAGGTTGGTTTGCATCATAGCACAGATTAAAATAGCAGCACAGATGCACGCAGAGGTGTCTTAAAAGGTGGGGAAAAGCCCTGCTCAGGACTTGAGATGAGGGCAGAACTCCAGATGTTGGGAGTGAACTCAGTTGAGCATTGATGAAGACTAGAGCTGCTTACAAGAAAGAAGTTGAGGCTTAAGGTACAATAATTTGACCATTGTAGGGAGTACGTAATCGCTGACCTGTTAAGTGATCTTGGATGCTTTTCTGTTTGTGCTACGGACTGAATAATGATGAAGGTGGAGCACAAATAATTTTAGGATATCTTGTGAGAGAAGTGAAAGACCTTTAAAATGTCTGTATTTTAGTTCCATATGTTGGGAAGTGAAGATGTAGAGATTGATGAATGAGTGAAATGTAAAAGCTGAATTTTCATGTGTTATACCAGGTTTTACAGTTTCAACTAGTTCTTCTAATCTGTGTCCTTCGGTAAATTTAATTAATAGATCACTTTTTAGTTTGTAAATGGAGAATTTAAAAAAAATCCTCCATTCTAATATGTTCATTCATTTGGAATCCTAATTTGCTAGACTTACAATTTATAATGCTATTGCTTTGTTTGACAGTACATTGTACTAAGAGGAAAATCTGACACACACTTTAAGTGGTTCTTACAACTGTCTCCCTTATCTATACCACCAACAGTAGTCTAGAGAAGGCCAGGAATCTTGGATTCTGCCTTTGCCTTGTCTCTGGGGAAACTGTGGCAGTTTTGGGTAGAGATAAGATACCTGAAGCACAATAACTCTGAAACATAGTGGGGCTAAATAGCTAATCCTTCAGCTAATTAAAAAATGCTGGTATAGCAAGAGAAGTACTGGCAAACTCTCTGAGCATACCCAATTTATGCAAACAAAAGCACAACAGATTATGCCAATTCTCTGAATGAAATAAACTGTACTGAAAAAGCAGTTTTTGCTAGAAGAATAACCGTGTTGGAATAAATGTGTCTAAATTGTACATAACATAAACATGCTTATGAAAATTAGTAACTGAAGTCTTCCTGAGCATCAATTTAAAAGAAATATCAAGGTAGTAAGATACACATCCAAACCCCACTAGATGGGAATCAACAGTAGGTCAGTTATATTAAAATCATAGATTCAAGCGCACTAAGCTGTAGAAATAAGATTTTAATATTGTGGTGACGAAAAAAAGGTAGCAGTAATGCATGTTTTAATGTGTCATTAAATTAAATCATAGTTTTTAATCAAGGTCAATTTTTTTCCTGACTGACAAAACGGCACTTTTCTGATTACAGAGGGGAAATCTGATAACAGAATGACAGGACCCCAGAAAATATCACGACTGCCATTTAGAACTTTTCTTGACAGGGGATTATACTGGAAATGGATTAGGTCAATTTGGCATACAGCATTTATATCAGAATAAACATGCCCCATGGAGCTAATAAGCAATAGTCTTTGCATTTTAAATAATTTCTTACTTCAATTCAAACAGTGTGTTTCAAAGCCTGCGGGTTATTTTGGGGCTGTATGTCATATTCTATTTTGCCTCGTAATCAATCCTATTTTCATTTTATCAGGACTGCAATGTCAAAAATAACGAGTAACTAAATACAGTGCTCTTAATGTTCTTAATCCATGTTACTTAAACCAACTTGATTTAAACCTTATAATCTTTTGTTCAGCTTCAGGGTTTTATTTAAAAGTCTCTCAAAACACAAAAGTATTTCCTCTTAGTTTCCAGCTGCATTGACTCATTCTTCTTGGTAAGATAGTTATAAATAGTTTTCATATGAGCTTTGATGTATTTCTTTGTTCAGTCAGATGTTTGTCCACATGTTTCTGACAGTTCTTTTTTTATCTCTTGATTTTTTTAATTTTTATTTTGTGTTTGTCAAGGCTGACCACTGTTTGTTATTAGGTGAACTGATTTCTTCTTCATCTTCCTCAGAGTCGGCATCATCATTGTAGAAGTGAATTGTAGCTTGTACTGGAAAACTTGCCAGCACCTTCTCTCCGATGTTATTAAGAAACTTTTGGGATTTGGACTTGGGCAAATAAAGTCTGATAAGAAAACATATTTTAAGAGAAAAAGTAAAACTATGTGACACTTTCCCAGCTAAGCTCGCTTGAGTATTAAAACCTATTTTTATCTTTCTTTGGAGAGAGAAAAATCCTAGGGTTCCTTGTCTTTTAAAATAAAAGTTGTTAACTAAAAGGTACTGTTGATTTTAAGTTACCTCAGTTGCTCTGGGCATATTTTGTATTGGATTTATCTAAGGTCCCACCCTGACAAAGTGTTGCTAGGGCAATGACACGTGCATGAGTTGGTTTGGTTTGGTTTTTAGCACAGTTCAGAATGGAAGTGTCCTGTGCAACTGGGAGAAGTTTGAGCAATGTTCTGGGATTCAGATTAAGACACCAGGTTAAGATTGGGGTGGGTGGCCTGTTGCACAGAGGTTGATCTTAGCGGGTTTATTGTCTCCAGGTGGAGGAGGAGGTGTACACTGAGAGAGATTTATTTCAATATTCATATTGTTTTGTGTGGAAATCATAAATGTGTTAATTTACATTTCAGGTTTTCACCAGCTTTCCCACTAAAGCAAAACTTACAGGGTCTATACACATATGTATTGTTTTTTGTGTGCATATGTATGCACACCGCTTCCTCTTTGTTCCCCTTTGGCCAGTTTTCAATTAAATTTGACAGTGATAAAGGTCACACAGAATTTAAGCTTCTACAACTTTTATAAAAACAAGTGATTGTAAAGAAGAGGGATATTCCATTAATTTTCCTCCTCTAAATGAAAAGTCCAAATCAGCAGTTTCTACATCATTAAGCCTTAAAGAATCCAAATGTTGGTGAAAACCCTTATAAATCCCCCAAACACAGGAAAAGCTGCACCTGGAGTTCAACTTTTAATAAGAGTAAATTTAAGCAAGCTTGACGCAGATCTGTAACAAGTCACATTCCATTAGCAGCTGTTCACATTAATTATTTGGGCTTTGTGGGCTTGTTATCATATTAATAAATGTAAATATAAATTAGATGAGGCAGAAGAACATTGTTTCCTTTAAGATTACTTTTTGCTGATTTTTGTTATTAGCATATTGTTTCAGGTTCTGTTCAGCCTGAGCATCTTTCCTTGTGCAGGGATAAAAATCGATGGAGTCTGGTGAGTAGTTAAACTGCATCACTAAAAAGAGATACTCCAGAGACAAACTGATACTTCTCCCGAGAAGGAATAAGTCTTGCCTTAGAAGGTGTCACTTTTCCTGTATCAAGTGACAGGATTTAACTCACCTCACTGGATGTTGAAACCCCAGGGCTCCTTTTGATGTAAAATTTATTAGTTGACCATCCAGTTCTGACTGTAAAGAGACATATTTATTGTTTAGAATAGGCTAAAAATGAAGATTTCACTTTTTTCTTCTACAGGTAACTGTAAAATTCTACAGCAGTGTTGCTTTTTTTGCTGTGCTGCTTGTTGTTTTACTCTTAAGTGTACTTCAGAGCCTTCCAATAGTTGCACATTTAACAAAGCATTTGAACTTGTACATTTTATAAGCCATAAAGCCATGAAGTTGTACATTTTGCTTAAGTTCTTATGGAATATCTCTAGCGACTGGTGAGCTAATAACATTACCAAATTGAAGTTCAGTGACTGGAAGAAAAAAGGATTTTCAGACAGTTTAAAGGATTGGGAGGTTAGGGTTTTATAAAATACCTCTTTACACTAACCAGTAGTTTGGAGTTGGAACGTTCAGGTCAGCAGGCTTAATTGTAATCAGAGATCACACGAGCACGTTAAGAGTCCAAACAGTAAAATCAAGAGACAACTGGCATCTCATATTTCTACGCAATCAGCAATTAAAAAAAGCAAGCATTTTTTATACAACAGAGTAGGTAGCAAAAATATATTTCAAATATCAAAATTAAATTTAGCACAGAATAAATTCCTTCAAATTAAGGTGACAATAAAACCCAATAATTTGCAAATGTTAACGTTACTAAACTCTATTAGGACTATAAACCTGAAATGTAAACCTGAAAGCATCTCCCAAAGTCACCGAGCCCTATCACTTCATCTTGTAGGCATGTATTCTCTTCCATATCTTAAAACAAGAAGACTTCTTTTTTCCTCCTATTGCTATAAACTTGATGGTGCATAAAATAGGAAGGTTTAGCTTTGCTGTACTAGAACTTGTAGTGAACAGAAGCTAGAAACTGTCTACTCAGCTACAAACAGACAAGGATGACTTTTGCCACTGTGAGAGCAATTCATCTATCTTTCTGAGGAAGTAGGTTTCAGCATGGATATTTTGGTGGGCCCCAAAAAGCCCTTGGGCCATGGACTGAGGAAGGGGTCCTGTAGAATTCTCTCTCTACCTTTTACGTTGGCCTATTTCTCTCGTACCCACGTGTTTGTCTTGTAGCCAAAATGATTTGTCTTTAGTCTGTTAGGGTTTTGTTGATTTTTTTTTTTTTGTGTTTAATCAGGAGACTCATTTACTTTGTTCTCACAGTACCTCGTAAAATGGACTCCTGATCTGGCTGAACATTGTAGATGTGATCATAATATCTATGTTAAGTACCATATGTTATTTTTCTCCTTTCATATTTACATTAAAATTAAAATAGTCTTTTTTATTTTTATTAACCTGTATTTTCTACTGTCTTCTTTTTGGAATACATATTGGTTTTTAATAATTACATATGTAGCAATATGTCTTGACTAAACACACATTATATGCTTTTTTTTTTCAGACTGTAATACAGCATTTCTGAAAAGCAATTCTGATAAAAGCCAATTAATTGCAAAACCTAACTCAGTTTTTTGTATACAGCAGAAAATGTTCAGGGTTAATTTGTATTATGTTGTAGATATGCAACAGCAACTTTAAACTACTTTTCATGGCTTTTCTTCAGGCGTAAATAATGATGTATTTGAGTTTATGTAGTAGGAGAAGTGTTACTTTTTATATAAGGAAAAGTATATTATGTATAGGTAACTATAGAGTATATTGTAACACACGTTCTTCGCAATAGAGGTAAAATTATTAGTTTAAATTTTTTTACCAGTACTTTTGGTTTTTAGTGATTTGCTCTGCATCTTTCAATTTCTCAGGTTAGATTCTTACATGTATATTCCCAAACATCTTTTTTAATTACACAGAGGATATTGAAACTTTTATTTGCTTCACCCTCCAGTGTTTGGAGTGTCTACCGATCTGTAAAGCAGTGGCATTTGTGTGTATACATTACAGAAAATAGAAGTAGCCAGCATGCAACTACCTAGCAAAAACATTGTGCTCAACCCATCTTGGAAAGCCTTCTGCTAGAAACCTCAGTAACTTTGCTGAAGAAGATACCTCTTGCCTTCCACAGCTGTGGGATATAGGTATGCATTAATGAGCACCTCTTCCCACCTATGCACCCCACAAAGTATCCAAGGATCTTTCCTCAGTTGTTGTGACCCTGTTAAAAAGCCTATGAAAGGGCTCCTAAAGCCCTTCTTCAGCCCTCATTAGGTCCCAAGCTACAGAGGCATCTTGGATGCTGAAGCAGCGTGCATGGGCCATAAGGTATGGATGAGAAGGATCTGAGAAGCTTCTGGCAGGAAGGAGAAATGTTAAAAAAATTAAACCAACAGTTTCAGTTATACTTGGCTCTAAACAATGCCAGGCTGTTAGCATGACTGTGGAAAACCTCATATGTGGTTTGTTTTTCTCACACAAGTGGGCAGAAGGCCAAGTGTGGATTAAAACTTTTCAGCTGGTTGAATAAGATTTTCTACAAAAACGTAACCTCAGTAATAAATCACAACGTCCTGATTTCAGAAACCCTAGTTTCTTGAAATCATCGCTGCAAGCATGTACTCTCACAAGAGTTAAGACTCCTCTCATCCTTAGCAAATTTACAGGTGCCTCTGGCAAAGCTTGGAACGCTGCTGGGAAGGATGTTCTCCTGCAGGCTTTCCCAAGGCGCCTGCCGGGAGGAATGTGGCGCTCCCTCAGATCTGTACAGTTAAAACCTCCATCTTCAGCAGACAAAAAGTACAAGGTAAAAAGGTGTTGCACGTGCTTGAATATAGTAGAAATTGTGAGTCTTTAAAGACTTGCGCTAAGGAGAGTTGTTGTCTTAACTGCTGAGCCTTTGGTAAAAAGTTGAAGATGTAACTGTGGGTCAGATGCTGCAAAACCTTATGCAGGTGCTTAAAACTAAGCATGGGAGTAGCCCATTTCAATACTTTTTTTAAAGTTTGCAGCATCGGGACCTATGCTGAATATGCTTCAATCTCTCTCTATTTTTGTTCTTTGAGCCTGACAAATCTTCCTCTTTGAGTAAGTAAAACTAATAATCACGGTGCCTTTCAAAGGCACTTGCAGTAAGAGCTACTTTAAAATCCTGTTTTCCATTGATTTCCTAGCCAGTTTAGCTATAGCAACATCCCTCCCAAATATCAACCATTAAAATTGTGCACCTGAAAGTATGTTTTTTAAATTTCATCTTAAAGTCATTTTCACTCAAACTCCCCCTATGTACAAAATATCACATACAGACTAGGCCTGGAAATATCAAACTGAGGATATTCTTATTTTTATAATTAAGCAAATAAAAACTGCTGCTAAAATAAAGGTTTTTTTGAGTAAGCAGTGCTTTCTGCAGCTCTTTAAGAACTGATAATGATTCTATATCCGATACAAAATCGGAGATCCTCTTACCATTATCGTGTACAGAAGGCTGTAATTTGAACCATATTTTTTAATACTGAAGAAAGGCTTGAAAGAACAAATGAACAGATGACCAAGCCTCACTTCCTGTGTTCAAATCGTTTAATTTCTGCACCTGTTTTCTAGAAGGATTATTTTCTCCAGAATTGAGTCTCACCATTTGTTGATTCTCTGTCATCTCACCATCTCTTGCTGTGAGCATCCAGGGCCTCCATAAAGCAGGGCTGCTGAAAGATTAAGATAGAATAGCGCTCCCACAGTTAATTCTTTGTGGTAATATCCGTACAGTACAGCTCCTTTTGTTAGATTCTGCTGGTATCTTTTGAAACAACATGATTTTTTTTTTCTTTTCAACGCACTTTGTTTTGGTAAATCTGATTTCTATGGCAATATTAGTCTGTCTTCCGGCTGCAACCTGATTAAACAAACTAGACAATGGTTTGCATATTTTTTTAACTAAGGTGTCATTTCCCTTTAAGATTTCACAGCTCAAAGTGACTGCATTGAACTCCAAATGATGATGTAATTAATACTGAAATAATTTTATTTATGCAGCACTGCTACAAAATAAAAAGTAACCCTCCCTCCCTGACATTATGTCTAAATACAGATTCCACGTTGTCAGTGAGTGGCTGGTTATTTATTGAGTCAGCAACTCCAGCACTACACTGACACAGACAATCTGATTTAATTAGCTTAAGAGAGCATATGCAGTAGTGGATGCTGCATATGCAGTAGTGGATGCTACCTCTGCCTCTTTTTTTGGTGCGGGGGGCTAGAATTATGGATGCTCTTTGTAACAGTACTTTCCATCTCTGCTGCTGTGTAACAGATCCATACAGTTGGGCAAATGGAAAAGTGCTTTCAGATATGAAAGGTAAATAAACTTAAAAAAATAATAAATCAGTTATCACAGCCTTAATTTTCATTTACTTCCGTTTATAAGTAAGCTCTGAAATATTTGACTGAAAAGGATAAAATGTTGGCAAAACAAATAAAATACCTGTTCCAAGTGAACTGTTGCCAGAGGCATATTTTGCCCTTTGCTTCTGAAGTTGGAAATTGTTTTTTTTTTGTTGTTGTCTATTCATTGCCGAAATCATTACATTCAAATGATACTTACGGTCAGAGTTTTGAAAGGAAGGCTGCCGAAAAA